TGTTTTCTTTCCACCCCCTCGCAGTCTGATAGTCCAGCCAGAATCCCGCGGCCGTCTTCTGCCAAAGGGCAAAGGAGGAAACCTCGACTCGCAGGACAAGGTGAGCGCTCATCCCGCTCACCAAACACATTTTGAATTTAGAGGCTTGACTGTGGAAAACATTTTCAGCTGCAAGTTCATTCGTTTGCTTCGTTCTGTTTTTCCAAGATGGTCTAAAGCCGCCTCTCATTCTTGCTCTTTCCTTCTTTCCCGGCCTACAGATGAATCTGACAGCGAGGGCAGTAAGTGGTTCTATTTTCAGACGAGATTCACTTCGGACATCAACCGATGCTCAAGTAGACGTGCGACCGTTCGATCATGAAACGCGCCTGAAATATTCCAAAATGAAAGAAGAGCCTGCATGTGGTCATCAAGTTCGTTTGCGTTCCCCAGCAAACGGTTTGTCTCAACCAAAGTAATACGACAACCGCGTCATGACCTACAGCGCTTATCGCCCCCGCACCACCCAAATAAGAAATCCGATTGATCCCCGAGGGAATTTCCAGTCAATGTGTCAAATTGCCAAGATTGATGAGGTGGTGAACTCAACAGCAGGCGTTGGCCTTTCACAGACGCCGATCCCCCCAAGGAAAGCGGAGATGCCGCGGGTGCCTCGTTTCCACCCGAAACGCCCTCCAGGTCAGTAGCAGCACGTTTGGACCCCCCTGATTGAAACAGTGCTGCGTAGCGCTTACAACCTGGACAGTTTGCAAGTTCTATCGCCATCTTAATTAATGCAGTGGACTTGATGCTCGTTTGATTGTGCAGCAATAAACGAATGGCACGGCCCAGCAGTGCTCGTGCAGCCCCCCCTCGAGTCAAGAAACAGGAGAGCCTCAATGACGGCGTCCCAGCTGAGAGGTGATCTTTCTGCACATTCTTCCCCCCCAACATAATTGTCACATATGATTTGTTACATGCTGCTTGCTCGTTACGTTGCGGCAACCTTATGGACTCTGTTGCTGTCACTTTTGCAGACTTTCAAGTGCCAAGTCGTCGGTCATCAGAGAGGGGAAGAAGCGGTCTGATGATGAGGATGAGGAAGACGAGCAGTTTCTCGTGGCGGAGGCGGCCCCTGAACCTGCAGAAGCTCAGGAGAAGGCGAGTGAGAAGCACAACCAATCGAGCAAAGCGGAAACATCAGCGTTGTGTTCAAACATTTGTTCTGCAAGCGGGGTTCATGAGTCGCTAACCACCTGCAACTACTTGAATGACGACATCGCAGGCAATCAAAAATGCCATCTTGAATTCCCCCCCATTAAAAATGCCGTTTCCTGGCATACGCGCTCACCTTTGTGCCAACTTGCTGCCACATTAACATTGCCTTTTTTTTTTTTTTTTTAATGTTCCAGGAATATGCGCAAGACCTCACCGGTGATGAAAAACACGGTACGCTTAAGTTGTTTTCCTCTTTTCTTTCCCATGTTGTTTTCCTCCTTTAGTGTTTATATCCATGAATATTTATCTCCCAAATGAATGCCGTCCAATGAATGTTTCCATTAATGCAGGTGGTCTCGTAAAAAAGATCCTTGAGACCAAAAAAGACTTCGAACCGCCACCATCCTCCACGAAATCTAAAGAGGTAGCGTACCATATTCTCACGTTTCCTTATTTGCCCACTAGAGGGCCTCCTTTAACCCATGAATGTGCTGCGGCAGGCCTATCGATGACTTGAATCAGACATTTTGTGAAAAAGTCTCCCGATGGTAATTGCCTGGGCCGCTTTGAAATGTGCCGTGCAACCCTGGTTATTATCACTGGGGGAGATGTAAACAAAAGCAGTGTCGAGGTGCAATTACGCTGCCTTGAAACCACAAAAATGTTCCCCTTCACCCAAGCCGAAGGTCTAATATCCTGACAAGCAAGCGTGGCTTCACGCAGACCACACGCACACACACACACACGCACACACACACACACACACACACACACGCACGTCAAGATGTCTGGAGCGAAATAAGCTCTGGGCTTGCTCAATATCTTCACAAAGGCCCAAATAAAAACACTCCTGCTTAGTGTGTGAGATCACATCTCTGCTAATTTGGCCTCGAGTTTCCTAACTGCTCTCGCAGGTGATTTCTTCGTCGCGCTCCACGTATGGATATGAAAGTGGACACATTTTCGGATGGTGTGGCCGTTGGTCGTGCTGTGCATTGACACTTAACGATGTGTGAGTGAGTGACATCACAACTCTGCATCAATGCTCAGATCTCAGTCAACTAATCACAAATCCAGCTTTTGACCTCTTGTCTTCCTATTGGCCAATTTACAAAAAACAGAAAAAAGCCCATCTGTCAGACTAGGGTGCTCTGAAGAAGTGTCTGGGTAAAAAGGCGTCACTCTGCCTGCGTCTGCGCTGGTCCAGGTTGTGGATGAGCATAGCGGTGAAAAGTGTCGTTGTTGAAGCCTTGTTGAAAACTATTGATATTCTGCCATGTGCTGACATTAGAGTACATGTTTTCTGCCAGTGTAGTTGTTGGTTCTGCTGCTTTTTGCATGTCCGGTTGTGTTTAAAAAAAAAAAAAAAAAGATGTCGTATATTTCTGCATCATTGTCTGGACTCGCGCGTGAGCGCCTCTGTCAGCATTATTTCATTGTTGTTGTACGCGTGAGAGTTTTGTCTGCGTTGTGGGCACGGAAGGCCGCGTTGTGTGGGTGGTCCTCTGCGTCGCTGTCTAGCCCACCCCTAACACTGATGGCTGAGCTGTTTTGGACTGTCGTTCATGTAGAGAATCCGCACACCCAGACCACGGCCTCTGACATCAACCATCATAAGACACAATGTGAGCTACCAAGGAACATCTTTTTTTTTTTTTTTTTTTTTAAATATGAAGTTACCTTCCAACCAAGCTTCTTTTTTCATCGCCAAAATAGAAAAGGCCTCTGTTAAATGTGAAGTAACCACGTAGGGTTTATATTAATTGCCCTAACTCAAGCTTCTCAGTTTCCACAGAGTCAAAACACACCTCTTAGACGATCCCGTGCGGTTTCCAAAGATAGAGCGGAGCAGGTATGTGCACTCGCAGGTTACTTTGGGGCCACCCCGCCCTCGTCAGCTGCGTAAAGAACTCAAATGACTTCCTTCCTGACATGAAAGTGCACCAAGGTCAGTTTAATGGAGTCGTTTTTCCTCGCGTAATCACGGCCGAGCGCGGCGGCTGAAAAATGTAAATATTGAACTTGCTCATTCCATGTTGTGTGTCAGGTTTGAAATTTCAGCTGCCGCAGTTCATCAAACCGACCCACTGACTGCTGAGACTTGAGAGCAGAAACGCTGACGTTTGTGTCTTTAATTAAGAAGTAGTCCACATTGTACCTTTTGCACTAATTCAATTACACGAGCGCAAATCCATACGTCGTAAGACATTTCTTGCAGATTTGAGGGAGCTGGCCGAGCCTTGACCCTATTGGCCGCTTTGTATATTTATTCAAAATACTTCTTTTATTTACACAAAATTTGCGCCTGGCAGCAGCTGGATTTTCCGAAGAATTTTGTGTACTTTTTTTTTTTTTTTAACTCCCTCTCAAATTCAACTTGATGAAGGTTTGCAACATATAAATAAACCCCGCGGCACACAAGTGGAAGGCTGTTGAATGAACGCCACAGAGCGAGGGCAGAGGGCCCAGAATACTCTGTCGACTTGTCAAGAAAACAAATATTCTGCTCTGCAACACTTCATAAATATGGAGGGGCAGACCTTTTCTGAATTTGGGGTGCACGAAAGGAAATGAACTTGACATTGAATTCATCAAGTGATTTCTTTTGACCGTCTAGACGTGATTCGGTCACACGCTAGTTGCCGGGCTTCTCTTGCTCCTTTTCTTGTCAAATAGTCATGGTGGGAAAAAAAAATGACTGCAATACATTTAGATGTATGAAATAGTGTTGGCTTTGCATTTGATGGCATAGCGTACAGCAGGAAAAGGAATATTGTCTCTTCAACTATGAAAAAGCTGTGTCCAAACTCGGGCCTGGGGACCTTTGGCGGACAGCCATCCCATTATTTTAGCGGCATGGAGTGGGGAGGGGGGGGGGCACCACTGACGACGACTGTTACTGCTCCTGATAAGAAATTGTTGTAAAGACTGAAAAATATTCATGAATGAAACAGTAGTGCAGGCGAGGATCTATTCTAGCGTGATACAGGGCCGTGGGGAACCCCCAAAACCGACTGAAGAATTTCAAAGCAGCCTTTGTATCCTTCAGTTTTTCTGTTCACAGCCCTCTGGAGGAACCCGTTAAGGCAACCCCGATGTAGACCTCGAGTGACCTTGGTCCAGGCAGACTTTTGAAGTGAAGTTGATGCTTTCTCACTCTTGTTAGCAAAAGAGGGTCAACGTGTGCCAGCAAATAAAGAAATGAGGACCTGGCTATCGTCTGCGCTACACAGACCAAACCAAAAACCTGGCGGAACCACGGTGTTTGTGTAGCTGCAGGCTTCTCGTCACCCAGCGCAAAGCCACCCACCTCGGAGGTGGACCGCGGGGCTGGGGCTTTTCAACCCTCACAAAAAAAAAAAAAAAACAACTCCCAAGCTCGATGTCCATTCTGCAAGCGCGGCGTTATTGGCTCCCGTAACGTCGACTTTTCCCCCGAGTGGGCGGGCTGTCCCAAGCCCAGCGTCCACCGCTTCGTCCCGGCAGATGTCGCGCAGCGGCGGAACCGAGTCACGTGTCCGCCTTGAAAGGAGGACTAAGTGCGGCAGTTGTTACTCAATACTGGAGTAAAATAACCCCGCCGCCACAGCTCGTTACGAAACTAAACAAGGACGACGAGTGCAGGCGGGGCATGTGTGTGTCTGCGCAAATGAGTGTTTATGTCTGCCTGGACGTGTGCGTGTGGCTTCACATGACACACACACACACACACTTAGACAGTGCGGAGGCTTTTGGCCAAGGCCAGCTGAGCAAACATCCTCGGGTTTGCTGCGTGTTAAGAGAGGCACCTCGACTTCTAACCCCACCCCGACCCCGCCCACTCAACCAATCAGCATCCGGGAGGCCTTCGCCATCTCGCCGCCCGCTTCCCCCCTGCCCCATTGCCCACATATTTCAACAAAACATTTGATCTTTATTCATGTATTTTTAACAGCGAGCTTTGTAACATTCCTGCCCAACGTTTTAACCTTGAAATCCGAAATGCGGGCTCACTCTAAGCGGGCGTTGAAACGCTGCTGCTGCTGCTGCGGTTGCTTTGGAAAGAGGGTTTCCCCATGAGTAGATACGAGCGCCTGGGAAATCGTGTTGTTCGACTTCAATTGTGCGCTGTGGAGGGAATCCTGACATTTGCGAAATGACCGCTATTGAAGCTGCAGCGCCTAACTTCTGGCGCCCCCTAGTCTGGCATTCCGCATTACAGCAAGAGAGCCGTGGCTTTGATAGGCCCGACGTAGGCTATGCTTAGCCCCCGCCTCCGCGTTGTTTGACGCAAACGTCTGGTGACGTCATTTTCACAGGTCGCAGAGCCACAACGAATGGAATACGTTCAATGAGGAAGCAATAACGTTCGGCGCAAATGAAGTTGCGCACACTTACCTTCGTGGCCGACTGCTTCCTTCTGCGCCGAAGCGTTGCCGTTAACCTCACCCCTTGTTTTCTTACGTTCTCTTGCGTATCCAGAAGCCGGTGTCGGGGGAAGCCTTGAAGAAAGAGCAGGACCTGGTCACGCGGGAGGTGGAGCGTCTGCGCGCCTCCATCCAGTCGGTGTGTCAGAGCGCGCTGCCTTTGGGCAAGATCATGGACTACGTGCAGGAGGACATCGACGCCATGCAGGCCGAGCTGCAGAGCTGGCGCAAGGAAAACAAGGAGCACGCGCAGGCTTTGCTGCAGGAGCAGAAGTGAGGAAGCGCGCTAAGCGATGCAACGTCTTTTGTTTTCAAACGGACGTAAATGTTCGCCCGAGATGCTTTTTGCATGCGATTCACTTGCGTTTGTGTTTTGTACAGAGCCACAGACTGGGCGTTAGAACCTCTTAAGGCTGAACTTTATGAACTGGACCAAATGATCAAGGATTACCAGGACAAAATTTGTGCGGTGAGGTCCAATATACTGAGAAATGAAGAGAAGATTCAGAAGAAGTTGACCGGAATCATCTCCTCTTCGACCTGAAGTGAGAACTCTTTCACCGTCTTTGAAAAACTACAGAGGAAAATGTCATGGAACACACAACCGACCCCATCGCGGTTTTGGAGGTTTTGCGCCATTCTCTTGTGAAGTGGAAAAGCCACAAATAGTTGATGAATACTCAATTGCAATTCACACAGACAATATCTGTCATCGTAGTACCACCACTGACCTGTGAGAGGCAGCGTGGTGCTACAGGGGCATCCACGTTGCCGGAAAATACACAAGAAGAAAAAAAAGTTGCAGGCGAAGAAATAGCGTTGTGCTGGGAAGGGTTAGCATCTTCACACAACGAAATATTGCAAGATTTCATTGCCCGCTTCACTCTTCTCATATTCTGGTGCCTTTGAGTGACAAAAATCTTAATCTTCAGGTTTGAAAGTAAGATTTACCACATACACACAAGTCACGGATATTCCAAAATCAGCAATAACATACAATATCAGATCTTTATGAATGTATCCACTTGGATGGGCGATCTTCAGGTTTGAAAGTCAGATTTACCACATGCGCACAAGTCACGGATATTCCAAAATCAGCAATAATGATTTTTTTTTTCCCGTTTTTGAGAGTTTCTTTGCTATTTATCAGATCTTTATGAATGTATCCACTTGGATGGGCAACTCTGACTTGCTCCCTTTGAGATCCAAATAGCTCACCTGGCAGGGATCTTTTCCTAAATGTGCTCTCACATATATTCGTCATGTAAAAAGCTATCAAAACAATTTCATCGTCTCTTCCAAATAGGCTCTCACTTCACGCCTTTTCCTCGGCGATATTTCACATTGCGTTCATGTCATGTTTTTGCGGGTCCACTTTTCAGGCACAGCTGCACTTTGAGGTGTGTAAATAGTGAACGCGGTGTTTTGAAGGTGTGTTCATGTTTTTAAAATAACCCAGTGTTGTGTTGGAGTCCATATTAAAACAAGAGTGAAATGTGCTTGTGTGTAAATAGTGAACGCAGTGTTTTGAAGGCGTGTTCATGTTTTTAAAATAACCCAGCGTTGGAGTCCATATTAAAACAAGAGTGAAATGTGCTTTTAGGGAAAGTCGGCGTCATCGTGGTGAGAGTGTGGTAGAGGATCGATAACTGATGAAAAATGAACTATGGGAAAAAAAATAAACTTAAAAGCTATCTTACATACCGAATATATATGAATGCTCAAATACTGTAGCATTGATACCCGGCGTTGAATGGCGCGTGCGCGTTCAAGTGTTTTCTAACCCCCCCCCCCCTTCAAAATATGTCGTTTTTATTTTCATAATTTAGTCTTTATTCTCATATTGTCAACACAGCGCTGATTCATAACTTTGAATACTCACTTCTCTTACGTCATAAATTATATGTACATAAAGTTGCTGGTAGAAACAACAGCGAGTCTATCGCGAAGAAATTCGGCTGTATATTATGTACATGTGGAGATTGTATTTTAGCTTGTTTGTTTGTTTTTGTAGTGAAGTACAACAATAAATGGCTACATTAAATATCTGACTCGTTTTCAACCCACCCTTAGAACTCTTGAGCAAAATATTGTTTCCTCAACTTTCATCCGAGCGAGCCACAAAACATCTGCTGCCACGCACAAAACGGAGTGAAACGCCACTTGAGCGACTTTTTCAAGCAGATCCTGACCTGCGAGTCAAAGATTGAAGTGAATGTCCACCTGCTATGAGCTCAACAGGTGGAGTGGAAGACAGAAGCGAGAACCCTGAGGGCTCGGAGCCGCTCGAATGACCCCCCAAAAAAGCTCATTTGGCCTTTTGGTCATCCACAATGCTTCGGGTTGCTAATGAGCGACTACACCTTTCAATGCATCTGGTCTCCAGTAAAGCAGCCGCACTAATCCTTTAAGCGTTTATCTTGACTTCCACTTGGGTCTCCCAACATGGCCCTCACTTCAAAGTAACAGCCTGCTTTGTGGGTGTGATTTGCTGCAGAATGAACAACCTCTGCGGAGAAGTCATCGAAGGTCACCCCAACTGCATGTCTACTTTCTCCAAAAGCCGCGTAGACGGTTGTTGAAATGTCACCCGAATAAAAAAATCCGTTTGTTATTGAGTCATGATAATTGTTTTATGACCATCCGCACTGATTTACATTCATTTTCTTGATAAAGTGTAAATAGTTTTTTTGCAAAATGGGAATTTTGCATCGTATATTTTCACCGCCCATCGTAGTGAACAGGCCACACTACACAAAGAATATAGTGGTCGATTTGGTTGACCAATCACCTGAAATTTGGTGGTGACCGGAGAGCTTCTCGCCGCAATTATGAATTCTTAAGTTCCACATTTCGAGTTGTGTTAGCATGCAGATAAATGGTGCCAAACCATGAGATAAAAATTAGGACAAACCCGTGTTTCGTTTTTGGGATACTTTTAATGTAGAATTTTCTCAAACTTGGCCACACTCAAAAGGGGTTGCTGACTGGTGGCCCACCCGATCATGTAAAACGGAATTGATTCTCATTGGAGCGTGTCGATTGTCCAGTGGTCTTCGGTTTACGACGTTGTGTCGTTCCTACGACCCACGCCCGGACACGTTCAATAACACAATAACAGTCAAAATTGCAGTATTTATATGAGAAACACGACTACCCCCCCCCATCTCCCACAAAAAAAAAAAAAAAAAAAAAAACGTTATATCATAAAACACTTGAGTAAAACAGTGTACTTGATTGTTTCTCAATATACTTAAAAAAAAAAACGTTATACGGCTGTAACCGAGCGTGCCTTCACTTTTCGATCCCCAAACGCTTTAATTGTTTTCAGGCGCGCGCTGTCTCTTTAAATGCAGCTGAGCTCGATGCGGAAGTACCGACGTGAGCTCGGCTGACGTGCCCCCGCACCGTCAACTTTGTTTTCATGTCCCTCGATCGTCTCGTCCGCGGCTCCCCGTTTCAATCATCCACCGAAAAAGAGCCAAGGCCCCACGGCAGCAATTCGACTCGCACCAGCCAAGCATGGCCGAGACTCCCGAGGCCGATGTGGACGAGCCGCCTCGTTGTCATTTAGCTCCGCTCATTACAGTTTCTGATCTGCCCGGTGCCACCGCAGCAGGTAATTCGGCGACAGCAACCCACAAGATGTTCACGCAAGATATTTAGTCACTTGAAGTTGGTAAGACGATGTAAGATGCAAATCACAATATGACGTCAACGACCACAATGCTCGTGTTCACTGTACATAGCATTGTTTCATGAAACGTGAAAAAAATGAAGGTATAAAGACACTGAATTGTTTGCATTATTTTTGTCATGTGGCCCATTTTATTTAATTTTCCGCCTCACGTGTTTGGTAAAAATTTTGTGAACCCGTCCTAGTGAACGCATAGTGTTTTTGCCTTTATTTAGCATAAGCCTGACTCATAAAACCAAAACACGTGTGTATAATCTAAAATGATTTATTGTAATAATCTATTGCCTGTTGTTTGTTAAAATGTTTTAAAATCATTCAGCCTTACTCCTGTTAACAGTGAAGAGTGTTATTGTCATGCACATGAGTTTGTTTCTTGACGAATAATGGACGTGAATGATGTGTCCGGCGGCACAGGTCGCAACCTGAAAGAATGGCTGGAAGAGCAGTTCTGTGACAAGCCTCTGGAGCAGGATGACATGCGGCTGCACAACGCCGCCTACGTGGGGGATCTGGACACCCTCAGGAACCTGCTACAGGAAGAAACCTTTCGCCAGTAAGTGTGACATTTGCCGTGTTGTAGATGCTAGCAAGATTTGACGTTAGCCGAGGCAGCTACATTGCAAACAAGATTTGTTTATGACAGAGTTTTGCCAAAAAACGAAATGTCACCGGTTTGATGTTGTTGTTTAATGTGCAATCACTGAAAACGATTAGCTGGCGACCAATTGCTGCTTCTCCAACCAAATATCATCCAAGCCTCTCCCTTTTCAGGCGTATCAATGAGAAATCGGTGTGGTGTTGTGGCTGTCTGCCCTGCACGCCTCTGCGCATCGCGGCCACGGCAGGCCACGCTGCCTGCGTGGCTTACCTGATCGCTCGAGGGGCCGAGGTGGACCTGGTGGACGTTAAGGGCCAGACGGCGCTGTACGTGGCCGTGGTCAACGGCCACCGCGACTGCGTGCGCATCCTCCTGGAGGCCGGGGCCAACCCCAACGGAAGCCGCCACCACCGCAGTACGCCGCTTTACCACGCCGCTCGGGTCGGGCGGCTTGATGTGCTGGAGGAACTCATCAGGTTCGCTTGGGAGAGGGTCGGGGTTCCATTTGTTAGAGACTCACTCCACTGTACCGCATAGCAGAGAAAGGATAGGGAGAGCTTGGCAGGTACACTCTCAAAATAAAATGGACTCCATTTGCTGAAAAAAATCATACGAAGTTAAACTATCAATGTAATTGAATCTCGAGTCTGTATCAAATATAAATGAGTAGTACAACAAAATTACTCTGTACTAAATAAAAATAATTTAAAAAAAATCACGATTATGAGCCAAGTTGCAGTATTTCTGCAATTGAACTTCTACTCTGTATTAAATCAAAATTATATTTAGTAATATTAAAGCTGCACTAATTGTGACAAATAGTAATTTCATAATTAAATGAAATGTAAAGAATTCGACAGTTTTTGCCACATTTTTTTTGCTTCAGTTTCAATGCACATTGTGCTCGCCCCTCCGGTGTGTGTGCCTTGGCCACCTGGGGGCGGTATAATGCAGACATACGGGTAAACTTGAGCTCTTCAGTAAGCCGCTGGTATATTAGTCCTTCTTCACAAGGAATAAAGAATACGGTCGATGCCTGTGTGAGTGCTGTAATATTATCTGTGTACATGTGTTGCCCCAAAGTTTGTATTCAAATATCTGCTGCCTAACCCCGCGCCACAGATGCTATTCCTTAGCCAGTCTATGGCATTTCTCATTATGTGCTAGCATTAAGCTAGTGTATTTTAAGGCGGAATTATCTGGTTGTTTGTAATATAAGCGTTGCTATCTTTGTTTTATGTTTAGCTCGACAGTAAACTATGTAGTGCTTATCTCAAATGTTTGCTCACAAGTCAAAGAAAAAAAAATCTCCCAAACAGCAGCTTGTATTTTGAAAAGATGAAAGTCGTGTCAGTCGCATCTCCTGCTAGTAAGTGACGTGATGTTGTTTCAGGTTTAACGCCGACGTGGACATGGACCACCTGCTGGGTCCCCGTCTCCTGCTAAGTGCCCGCACCCTGAACACCTTGGTGGTGTGCCCGCTGTACATCAGCGCCGCCTACCACCACCTCCACTGCTTCCGGGCCCTGCTGGAGGCCGGGGCGCAGCCCGACTTCAACTACACGGGCCCCGTTTGCCACGACGCGCTGAACCGGGGCCTGGCCTCCTGCCTGCTGGACGCCGTTCTGCGGCACGGCTGCGAGGCGGCCTTCGTGCAACTGCTGCTGGACCACGGGGCCCGGCCGGCGCACGTGGCTTGGGACGAGTCGGAGGCCGACGCTTCCTACCGCAGGAAGGTGGATCCCGAAGCCCTCGGGACCTTCCTGGAAGCCAGGAGTGAGTCAAATTGTTTACTTAATGCTGTGGGGGGAGGTCGGAAGTGGGGAAAAAAATCATCACCTCCAAATAATATCCAGAGAGGCTTTCAGGACATCAATTTGCTTATTTAAATACAGTATGTTAATTCATATTGCGCTTATGGCATAAGAATGCAGATGATTAAATCATCAATCAGCTGCTCATTTTTACCACTATCGCCCCCTGCTGCTGACTGAAATCGACACCAAAGTGCTCTTGGGAAATGTCCTGATTTTGAGCCTATTTGTCTATACGGCAATGTTAAATCCCATTTGACAACGGAAGACCAATGTGCTTGGCTGCATTGCCACCCTCAACCACAATAGAGTTACGTGTCATACTATCTTATCCAGTGGTCTGTGGTCTGGCGCGTTTTCAATCTTCTCAGCGGCTGAGCTGGATTTCCATAAGCCCTGTCATGGGCGTCTACATGTTTCCAGTATGTAGCCCGTCTCTCACCGGGTGAACGGTGAACTCCGCTAAGGTTTCACTTCAGTTATTTGAACCTGAATTTAAAGTAGTATGATTGGTCATGTGCATCTGTGCTTGTTGGCGTCTCCGCCAGGCTACCCTCGCAGGTTGACCCACGTGTGCCGCGTCGCCATCCGCAGAGTCATGGGCAAGAAGCGTCTGCGTCATATACCGTCACTGCCGCTTCCGGAAGCCATCAAGAATTTCCTGCTTCACCGAAACTGACAACCGGGGCTTCTTGGCTGTCTTTAACCGTGACTTTTCTCACTCTGGCGAACACTATTTATTTCTAGTTGAATGCATTTTATTACTGTATTGACTGTCGGTAAAATTCGTGGTTATGAATGTATGTATGTGCAGTATGTAGTCACGCTATACAATTGAGCTAAGCAATCAAAAGCAGTGCAATCATCAAATTAAGTGTGGACCTGGAAGAAAAGTGGCTATGGGGAAGCTCAGTTTTATATATACATTACTTTGAAATGTTATCGCATGCTCATGTAGCCATGAATGTTTTTTTTTTGTTTTTGAAAAGCACATTTAATACTATGCTAAGGTCAATGGTTATGAAAGGTGCAGCATATCACTTTTTAGTGTGTTTACTGAATGTGTGCTGCTCCGACTCTTCTTTTGTATGTTGTCTTGTCTGTCTTATTTATATTCAGTAAAACCCATCTTAATGCTATCTTTGCTACTATTTGTTTTCGTTGTCTAAATTGACACGGATGGCTCTCGGCATCACCAGGATGAAAAATAATTCTTCCCAAGTAAGTTGGCATTCTTTGTTTTTCTTTTTTTGGGGGGGGGGGCACTTACTGAGATTTGCTTCAACTCAACATGCAAATGTGAAATTGCTCGTACCACCCTTACAGAACGAAAACCCACAATGGGCACAGAAGCGACATGAAGCTGCCTCACAATCATTTTATTTTTTTTAATTACTGAAAAATCAAGCATCTCTTGAGACACTCTTTGCCTGAATAAGCAAAGCAGCCCCAGAATATAATTTGGCTTACTTCTCCATTTATTTGAATTTATTTATTTAGTTTTTAAAGTTAATTATTTTGGCATTAAAAATATCCTTGGCGTTAAAGATCTTTCTGGTTTACAAGCATATTATGAGTTCAATGATAACTCGTGCAAATATTTTAAGACAGACACTGAAGTACATGGTAGCCAGCAAGTGGAACAATGTGAACAGTGACTGGCACGTTGCAGTCAGCGCTGAATGCCAGAACTCCAGTTCCATTTCTACAACTCATCAAAAATCGGCGAGATGCTTGTCTGCTTGGTGGCAGGTCCTCCAAGGTCTCTAGATGGCACTGTCTTCCTTCCGAGTTGCGCCACATCACTTGACACTCTGCCTGTCTTCTCTTTTGTGGGCTTCCCGTCCCCTTCTGTCTCCCCGTCATCACTCGTGCACTGCCACTCATGTTGAAAGAACTCTGCATCTGTCTTGAAGAGGCACAAAGTGACACGCTCGCCGGACTTTTTTAGGACGGCCCAGACACGAAACAGGATCAGCAACTCTGCACCAGTGCTGAGTGCGTGGTTGATAAACCGCTGTTTTCCTGTGGGAAGGCTTCGCTTTCAAACAGGTTTTATGAGGCTGCTTGATGTGGAAGCGTTCATTACAGCTAAATTAGAGGGCAGTGAAGAGAAATGCAGCGAATGTCGAAAGGAAATTTTTGGGTCCATTTGTGAAAAAGTCAATCCTCTTCAAGGCTCGTTGTGGATGACAAACATTTAATGTTGATAACTTCTGCGGGGAAGTTGTACGGGCTAAAGAAGAAACCGCAGGCTGTGATTCATCATTGATGATGTTCCTTTTGTGGTCACAATAGATTCAAAACACCTCGTGGCGGAAATAGCAAAGCAGCCCCGGAACAGAACAGAGATCAGGCTTTACGACACCGGGCAACGTATTTTGCTACGGAATTGCCTTGATAGTCTTGCAATTGTATTGTTCACCGTACAGATACAAACCCTAACCTATGCTGGATGGAGCAAAGCGACCCCAGATCATAAACGGGCCAAGCTTTCTGTCTCTGGTCAGTACATTTTGCTCCAGAATTAATCTTAGTGATTTCATTGTACCCTGTGCAGATTCAAGACACCCCGTGCCAGATGGAGCAAAGCAACCCCGGCTCCTGATGCTCAATGCTGCTAGCAACAGGGTTGGAGTGGAACTGCACATGCTTCCAAATGCTTCGACTGTACAGGCTGCGATGTACGTACTGCGATCCCAACCGGGCTGCTCTGATTGTTTTGGAAGACACAACATGACTAGCAGGCTCACGTGGTCTTAACTTTGCCTTGAGGCATGAACCGATCAAGCCTTAAGCCATGAACCGATGACAGGCAAAACGTCTTCGAAGACAATCACAACAGCCCCATTGCGATTGAGGTAACATTGTCACAAGTTTGCAAATGAACTCGATCGTCTCGACTGTTTCTGGTGTGTGCAGACTACCAAAAACTGGAGGGACAGGAAGATATTAGGCCTTGCGCAATAACATTGGCCAAACTTGCTGTTAACCACACACACACACACACACACACACACACACACACACACACACACACACACACACACACACACGCACAAGATTTTAGAAACGTATAAATTGCGTTTGCAAACTTGATTACTTTTCATTTGTGCTGCTCTCATCAAGCCGCCGTTTTGAGCGTACACTAACTTGTTACCGTTTGGTAATTGTAATTTGGTAAATGTGCTTTAATTCGAATGATCTCATTCCAAAGGCAGTCCGGAACTCTTCGTTTCACCCCAATTAGAGCATCACAAGAACACACACACACACACACACACACACACACACACACACAAATGCATGCACGCGGTTGTTCTGCTGCAATTATGTCATGAAGCCCCTTTTTTTTTTCTCTCACCACATAGCAAGCTTGGTGGACTTTGTCCAAACAAATCGTCGAGGTCCCATTTGCGAAAAAACTCCGGACGACTTAAAAGTGAATATGTCGTGAAGCGTTCCAAGCGAAATATCCTCTTTCCGTTTGCGCTCGTGTCGCATCAGTTCAAGCGGCGTGGATTTAGCCGGCCTGGAAATCTTGCCCATTATTTTTCATCCTGTAAGTCTGCACGCGAGAGTGACGGCTCGCTTCCTGCTCTTGATGCGACACGAGGCAAATTCCTTCCACTTTATTGATCTAATTAGAAAGTATATAGTAGGGAATAGGGAGACTGCGTTTCAATTTAAAAAAAAAACCTCAAAGCGGCTTAATGAGACTTAATTTGACTGTTTTCCAAAAGAGCCAGTAATAGTGAAATGCGGCAGGAAGGATGTGAAGTGATTGCCTATGTAATGACTCTTGCCGTCTGTAACGCAGCTCTTATACTTAATTGGTTCCCTCCCATTTGACTGCTGTCGTCGTTATTGTGCACGTAATAAAGTCTGTCCGGTATGGCCGTTCCCCTGGCACGAGTAATGATGCTTTATAAACAAAAGAGAAAAGTGTTGGGAAACAGCTGCGGACGGGGGGGGGGTTAAACGCTTTTAACAAGTGCCATTTCCAGTGGTGTCAATGTTAACTACTGTAAATTAGAAGTAACCCGTCAGACATGATGAATAGGTTGGGCTCCCGCGGTCGGAAAACAAACCCAAAACACGTGAGCGTACCTTTCCGCTCTGGCCGCTTTCATCAGGCGGCTAAACGTTTGCTGGGATGAAGTCGGAAGGCTCCAGTTGTTTGTTTCGTGGCATATAAAATCATTTCGCTTTCATATACTCACCTTTGCCACTGACATGTTGACAGCGTATTACACGTTCATGTTTTAACGTCTCTAAATATTCATACTGCCTGATACCTTGTAGTTGGCGGCCATTTTATTGGAAATGGTGACGACGGGACGACCGTTAGAACGTTTCGTGATGTCCCTCGAGAGACGTTGTGACCAGGTTCGACCGTGTTAAGCGTCTCACTGTCAGCTTCCCTCCTCGCTCTGAGGAATCGTCGTTATTTTCAAGCTTTTGGTCTTGTGGGGTCGGGAGGGGCGAGCAGGCCCCCGTTTTTCCATGCCCGCAAGTTGGGTCTCTGGTGTGGGGTTCCCAAGCCCTCAGGAAAGCGCAGTTTACAACATTCCCACAGTGGCGGCCACTGGACGACGTTCTTCCTCTTCTTCGGTCGGCTGTTAAGCTGGGATTTTGGCTTGGCCGTCTTGTTGTCAGCGGTTTGGGAAGCTGCCCAACGCTTTTGAAGGGGGATCGGGGGGGGGGGGCAAGTTTGAGGAGGAAGAGCACCCACCCCTCCTCCTCGCAATCCCACCCCGAGACCTTCTCACTCCACGGTGCATGGCAAGCTTCGCAGCTTTGGTCCACGTCCACCCGCTTTCCTTGCCGCGGGATCTTGGTTGCGGAAAATCCTCCCCATGGGTAACTCGAGTCGACGGAAGTAGTTAAACATGGGTGGTTTACTGTCATGGACATTGTAATGAGGTCATTAAGGAATCCATAGACTCGCCAACTCAGGGTTACGGCTAACAAAGCACCGGATGTTTGCCTGTCGGATGAGAGGAAGTGTCATTCATTTCAAGGTAAAGGCAGTGGGGTTGGGGGGCCATGGGGGGGGGGGCAGCCATCAGTCACTCAATATATTTCAATTCACACATATGTGGTAACAGCTTAATCGACGACATCCATCCACTTTGTAAACCGCCTGCTGAGTAGGTCGCGGGCAACTGGAGCCCATTTCAGATGACTTTGCAGGAGAGGCAGTACGTGTACGTTCTTGGGCTGAATGAGGTTGAATTCAAATATCTGATTATTTTTTTTTCTTACAATGTATTTTTAAACAAACGCGAGCAATAAATTCTTTATCGGGATAAACAATAAACACACACGCACACACAAAACTCCAAGTGCGTCATCAAAGGATGAGTAAGCACAAATCAACTTCAAATTTGTGCCCCGAGCTGTGAATGTGCTTAGAACTAATGATCCTCGATATTGTCCCATGCACAGTAGTTGTGCAACTCTTCTTATGATTCCATATGTGCATGGATGTATTATATTGCCCCCTGCCGGTAATTTTTGGGGGTGGCAGGAACGGATTAGTGGCATTTACATTCATTTCAATGGGGAAAGATGATTTGAGATATGAGTGTTTTGAATTACAAACGTGCTCACGGAACGGATGGAACTGAACTCTCGAGGCACCACTCACTTTGCATACAAGCAATTCAAAAGTCCATTTTCCTTTCTACAAAATGGCTTTCAAGATACTCGTAGGATGCGTTACGTCATAACATCATGAGTGTCAAATTTGGATGACGTCAACTTCCTGTTCTTCGATTCCATAGAGGACGCTGCGGCTCCTTTTGGCTTGTGAAGCATTTACTGGGAGTGTGTGTGTGTGTGTGTGTGTGTGTGTGTGTGTGTGTGTGTGTGTGTGTGTGTGTGCGTGTGCGTGTGTGTGTGTGCGTGTGTGCGTGTGCGTGTGTGTGTGCATGTGTGTGCGTGCGTGTGTTTACGAGCTCCCCGAGAGCATCTCATGCATTCGATTTATGCCTCGCCAGTTATGTTTAGTACATCTGTGCAAGCGACGCCCACTCAGGATATAGCTCACCTCACGAAATGATAGAGGACGCTATCTCCAGTCGACCGCTAACAGGAGATACGTTTCGCGGAGTTTGCGACATGTATAAATCAACGGAGACGAGCTCCACTGCTGTGCGCTCCTGCTGCCAGGTACCAATTAGCTTAGCTGGTCTCTTTAATCGGCCGCCTGCCTGAAAGGGATGCCACTCCATGCCTCCTCTCTTATTTTCTCACCCGCCGCCGCCGCCACACCCACTGATGAAGGGGCAGGGGTTGGGTGATCGGTGGTTGTTGGGGGGGGGGGCAGGGGGGGTTGCTGAATGCAGCAGGTGGACAGGTGGTGGACCGTGATGAGTAGTCGACAAATTTTTTTTAATCACCAGGTGTCCTAATAATATGCCTATTACGGTACTTGTTTTCACATTACAGGACACTTTAGCCTAAATTAGCTGGTTTTGGGGGGGGGCGGCCTTGTCTCATGTGAGTGATCCAGCCCTCATCCCAACCCATATAACGCTAATACCGAGTACTTGCCGCTTATGGGCCGCAAAAAAGCTCACCTTATGGTAGCTTCTAGAAAAACAGCGTGGTTTGTATTTTCCCTCGTAAAGGCAGCACTTCATCAGCAAGCAGCCACATTTGTCAAGGAGTGTGTGTGGATCCATGAATGCATCAGATCCAGCTGAGACATCCGCAAATAAAAATATGGCCCCGATGTCATAGAACAATCAAGTACACTAAAAAGTTTTAAAGCAGCCTTATTTTTTTTCTTTTTAGTCACGCAGTTGAAATTGTACAAAGACATGCGGTGAACCGCTACAAGTTCAAAATAAGACACACAGAGAAGGTTACATCAAATTGAAAAATAAAGTACATTTCAGAATTGAACAAAAAGGCACAATCTTCAGACTTAAACCCCACCGAGCTGATTTGGGATGAACTGACAGAAACATGAACACAAAGCACACACACAATATTTGATTTTCATTGTAGAAAAAATGTCACGAGTGTGTTCGGCTGTCACACAACATCTTCCCAAAGGAGGATATTTTAACGAGTCAAAAGTTCCAAATGCTTTTTGCTTTCTAGATTCATTCCATGAGTTCTTTTGAACATTTCGTTGTACATTTTGTACTCACTTATGGGAAGCAAATGCTCGTTTAGCCATCCAACAAAATGCAATGCAGCTCTGCTTATACCTTTGGGCTTCAGTGTTGTGTTTCACCTCTTTGCGCTCGGGTGAAGCCACCACCAACTTTTTTTTTATGTATAGCCACCTGGGGAGAAATGATGTCGCGGCGCTTATTGTTGCATAAGAAGCGGCTCTTATTTGTGGGGAACAGGCGGAGAACAAAAGAATTGAATTGGTTCATGTAACATTCCATTTGTGCACAGTGATTTTTTTTTTTTTTTTTGCTCTCCCTAAAATGTTCCTTTTCGAATCGGACGAAACAACATTCAGAATTCATTCGTGTTTTCGGGGCAACTTTTCTCCAAAGAAACCTGTTTTGGATTAGCAATTTAGTCACTGTTTCCTGGGAAACATCGGGGCGTAACTAACCATTCAAATATGAGAAGATGAAAGGGAATCTGTGGCTTGCCGCGCACCAGAAAATCTGACAGAAACAATAAGCCCACGTTTTTAACAAGGCTGTTTATTTGCACGTGATATTGAGCAGATGGATCGTGATGAGTCACGCGGCGAGAATACGAAAAGCCTGCCGCTCGGGGCGTGAGCGCCCATTCGACGGGGTTCAAGGAAGCCACGTTCCCGCGCGCGCTTCTCACTCTATCGCAATAAAAGCTGGCAAGCGGGTCGCAACATATCACCTGGGCCGCTCGGTTTACATTTCCACGACAGCGGGCTCCTATTTCAGCTCGTGAGTTGTTTCCATGTCGACCAAGTGGCCTTGAACTGCGTTTATTCCCTAGGGGCGATTCAGGAGGAACTTGTCGCCATCTGGTCAATCGAAAAACGATTTCTAGTTTTGTTTTGTTGTTGTTGTTGTTGCAATGGCGACCGCAGGGCATTGCAACAACAACCAGCCCAGACTCTGACAAACGACAGACATTTTGGTTTACATTTCCACGACAGCGGGCTCCTATTTCAGCTCGTGAGTTGTTTCCATGTCGACCAAGTGGCCTTGAACTGCGCTTATTCCCGAGGGGCGATTCAGCAGGAACTTGTCGCCATCTGGTCAATCGAAAAACGATTTCTAGTTTTGTTTTGTTGTTGTTGCAATGGCGACCGCCGGGCATTGTAACTACCCGAAGCCAACCAGCCCAGACTCTGACAAACGACAGACATTTTCACCGACGGAGGCAGCACTTCCTCACCTCAGTCCAATTGTCAATTTGTGTCGCCGAGTGATTCTCAAGTGTGGAGTTCGTAAAATAAAAAATACTGCCTAAGCACAGTTCAGTTGGATTTCACTTTTAAGTTCACACATTTGCATTTGGTCTTCAAGCGCGGTTTGATTTTAAACAATTATTTTCGGTACAGTTTTTCCTTTTATGATCTTACTGTGGATGAGACTTTTTTTTTTTTTTGCTTTGTTTTGTTTGAATCCATTGCAGTACATTTATGAAATAGGTTCGCAAAATAAAAAACACTGCCTAAGCACAGTTAAGTTGGATTTCACTTTTAAGTTCACACATTGGCATTTGGTCTTCAAGTGCGGTTTGATTTTAAACAATTATTCTTGGTACAGTTTTTCCTTCTTTTATGATCTTACTTTTTTTTTTGCTTTTTTTTGTTTGAATCCATTGCAGTACATTTATGAAATACAGTTCAGTTCTATTTGCCTTTTAAATGCAATGCGCTTGTTTTTAATCTTTTGGAACTGATTTTGTTCGGTCCACTTTTTATTTGCTTAATTTATTATAATTGGAATCCCCTCAATTAAAATGATTACATTTAGTCTGAATACCAGAAATAATACTTTTTTAAAAAAATCTGTTAATTCACAAAAACCTTTGAATTGTTGAATTATTTACAGTCTGCGGCTCGTCCCAACCCCAAAGTAAACGGCGTCGCGTTTAGGCTGAGCTTTTCGAGAGCATATTTGCGTGCACGGCCACGACGATAATGAACCTTCACGCTTTGGATTGTGTGTGAGTGAATAGAGGAATGAAGTGCAGCCTTTTTTTTTTTTAAGAGATAGTCTTGACTCATACACCATCCCAGAAGTGTATTGTATGTATTATACACAAAAGTTATGTCATATATCCATCCATCCATTTTCTAATACTCTTATAATAATAATAATATTAATAATAATTATGATTATTATTGAAGCCGACGTGAGTTGCTCAGTGATACCCCCCTGTCCACAAAAATAAAAAAGAAATGCCAAAAGATACCTCCCTCCACTTTGCCTGAACATGGTACAGTCCAGGTCACCTTTACTATAAAACGCTTTGGTTTAGTCTACTACTAGTTTGTCAGTTCGACCTGGAAATTTACCACCTCTCAGCTTAAGTGCTTCAATGCCCAAATCTGGTAAGCCCGCGTCAAAATAACATGACTTAATGTTACACATAAGAAATACCTCCCTATTTAACACCATAAATGAAATTGAGAACATTCAAAGCAGCTTTCCAAATCTATCAGGAGATTTTAGCGTTGATTTGATTCTAATTTTGTCGTTGTTGTTTTGCATGTTGTTATTCTTTTCATGACTCTTATCATTATTTTGTTATGGAATATTCTATGAAGAAAATGTATATTAAACTACGTATTAAGAAGTCATGTCAAACTCCCATATCAATCCTGTAAACGGATCATAACAGACATGTGTCCCGTTCATATGTATATTTCAACCGAAATGAATTCTCCGGATTGTAGCCTGTTAATGAAGCCAAAAGATACCTCCCTCCACTTTGCCTGAACATGGTACAGTCCAGGTCACCTTTGCTATAAAACGCTTTGGTTTAGTCCACTACCAGTTTGTCAGTTCGACCTGGAAACTTACCACCTCTTATCCCAAGTGCTTCAATGCCCAAATCTGGTAAGCCCGCGTCCACATTGATCCATTTGTTTGCCCAAAAAGGTTCCTTGCCATTGACCTCTTTTCCCAGAACAAAGTTGTGACAACTAAAGACTTGCTTTAGCTTAGCATACGCTTTAGCTTAGCGCATGTCTCAAAGAGACATGGGCTTCTCCTTGGTCAGCTTCACAAAAAAATGTTCAAAAGCAAACATTGTAGACCTCCCCTGATGGTCCAGTACTCTTAGTTAGATACGTTGCCTTCTTTTCATAATTTGATTGAGTGTTGAGGAGCCTCCAACGTGCGTTCATTTTTTTGCGTCGAAATGTTTGAAGGTAAGTGCTGCAAACATGCTGCAGTTGAAGCCTTGTTTTAAGTACTTGGCGATAGTTCTGTGTGTAAATCACTTCAATTTGCCAGGATTGTTGGCAACGCCGTTTTCTGTGGTGAGCCGAATTACAACGCGCTGTTTTTATTTTCATTTTACTGGGACTCGAATGGCTGATCTTTGAATTGTATCCAATAAGCATAATTCAAATTGCAGGTCTGTAAGGGAGCGTTTGATAAACTGCGGGGCAGTGTAAACAGTGACAAGACACATTTTGGAGGACGTGGATGCGGTATTGAAGCCCACGGGCCCCACGCCACGTTGGCTACCCCTGCTCTCGTCAGTCAAACCCTCCCTACACCTGATCCTCAAGTTCATTTTAAAAGAGGAACTAAAAGGCGTCCCTGAGGAACACCGAGACCTGAAATGAACCTGAAAGCAAGTTTTGTTTTTTTCCCTGTTGCTCTTTCATAACAATAAGACATTCTAAATTATAGTCTGCATTCCACATTGTGGCTCTGTACAATACTCTGTACATGTTGCATGCACACAATAAAGAAGAGGAGGCGAAAACAAGCAAGAACATCCCAATCACCCGCCAAACGAACAAACAAACACACATGGATTTTTCTGCATGCAGATCCAGTGAGAGGAGGACACGTCAGAGCTGCGCAACCACACCGAAGGGCAAATTCAACATTGCGCATCATCATAGCTGAAAAAAAAAAAACACTCATCCAGCTGCGGTTTCGTCTTTCCAGTTTACTGCCACATCTGTACCCAAACAAGTCCACTTTTAGGATCACCACGCATGTCAACAGTCACTTAAGGACATCTCCTCAGTCCCTTTGTGTGATGTCAGACTGCAAAGCATTCTTTGGGACATCAAGTCGTGTGTGCCATTTTGATCGGCTCTGAAGATGTCGCACATGTCTGGTTTCAAAGGTTGTGCTCGCTCTTCACAACTTAAAACGGTTCTACGGTCGTTGTGAACTTGCTGTTCTCTCACATGGAGCTGAATGGCAAAACTTTCAACATGCGTTTGAGCCACGAATGGGCAAGACGTTTCCTCTTTCGATTGGAGTTCGGTAATTGTGTCATGAAAAACTATTTGCCCCCCCTTCCTGATTTCTGTGTTCTTTGCATATGTTTCACACACAAAGATTTCAGTTCATCAAAACAATTTTAAAATCATACAAAGACAATCCAAGGACATGCAGTTTCTAAATGGCAATTTAATTTCTTAAGGCACAAAAAAAAAAACAACAATCCAAACCTACCTGTCCCAATGTGAAAAAGTAATTGCCCCCTGAAGCGAATAATGGGTTGTGCCACCCTTGGCAGCAATAACTGAAATCAAACATTTGCGATAATTGGTGATAAGTCTTTTACATCGATGTAGAAGAATCTTCTTTGCAGAATTGCTTCAACTCGGCCATATTGGAGGATTTTCTAGCATGAACTGTCCATTTAAGGTCACACCACAGCATCTCAATTGGAGTCAAATCTAGACTTAGACTTGGCCACTCCAAAACCCTCATTTTGCTGTTTGTTTGTTTTGTTTTGGGTTTTTTTTTTTTTAGCCTTTTGGATCATTGTCCTGCTACATGATTAAAGAGCGTTTAAGTTTGAGGGCGCAAACTGGTTGTCGGACGTTCTCCATCGGAATTTTCTGGTGGACAGCAGAATTCATTGTCCCATCAATCACAGCAAGTTGTCCTGGTCCTGAGGTAGCAAAGCAGCCACGGACCATCACACTGCCACCACCATGCTCCACTGTTGGCATCATGTTCTTTTTATCAAACGCCGTGCCATTTTTCACCCCGCATGTAACGGGCCGCACATCTTCCAAAATGTTCAGTTTTTGACTCATCAGTCCACAGAATGTCTTGGGGATCATCAAACAGCAAACTCACCGCAGGAAGGCCCGATCCGAGATTCAAAGCCCCGAAACGCAGGACTGCGAGGCAAACATGCTCAGCGCTGCTTTGCCGTGCCGCCCGCACAGATAATCAATCGCACTGAGGATGGCTGTTGATGGAGGCCAGGAAGATGCCGCTCTCACCTGCGCAACACCTCGCTCACGCTCCCAGCGGAGGACCGAGTCCGTCTGGCCTCTCTTCGTGTCGCCGCCTAATTCAAAGCATCTTGTGGGGATGAGCGTAGGATGTGACTGCAGAAAAGAAAAGAATCATAACAGGAGGATCAAAGAAGTCGTGCAAATCTATTCCTTCTGGACATGGCGGCTCTCGGCATCAAACAAAGGCAATCCAAAGTCAAGACAGACTGAGCGCAGGGCGCGGACGGAAGGATGAAAGGAGAAAGAAGAAAGTCTCGAACTCTGCAGCTCATGAAGCGGCTCATCGGCCGCACGTGCGGCCCGCTTGATTTACACGCGGCTCCGGCAGCTCGCTTCCAAAAGGAGTTCACCTCCACCTGCTTCCCTGCGAGCGGGATCACACCACGCAGCTGTGTCAGCTCCATAATTCTACGGTCAGAGTGCACTTTGCGGTCTAATTTAGCGGAACGCTTCATGTCAGTGTCTTCTTTTTTTTTTTTTTGGAACGCGAGACAACACGCAGATGGCCCGGCTTCTCTCAGGCTGTATTTCCATTTGTGTACCACGCGTAGAACCAAACTTGATCATCCTTGCAATCGAATGATGTCATGAAAGAGATTTCCATTCTACTAGCGTATCATAAAAAAATCAAATCGTCAAGCGGCAGCGAATGGGCCCTGGCTCCCACTTTTTCTTGGCAAAACGCTTCACAATTCGCGCGCGTGCCCTCCTTCAACTTTTGGCTCGTTTGGGCAAATTCCCGAGTAAGAGTTTGTCAAAGTACGACACCTGGACTTTGTCCTGTTGAAATTTTGGCGTGGCTCCACAAAAAAAATGAATGGCATGACCACCCAATTTCTTGTTCATTTGTGAAAGTGGTGTCGGGTGTTTTTTTTTTAAATTTTTTGTAACCCACTTTTAGGTGGCAAATGGTCAAAATCATCATCAAACGTTGATGCCGTGCGCCACCCACATTAGACGAAGGAAAAAAAAAGTTCCTCCCGAATTTGCTCTTGAGGATACCATGTGGCCGAATTCCCCCACAGAGATTTTTTTTCCCCCAACATTCCAGGAGGCGCTAGTGAGTGAAGCTAATGGTGAACAATGAAACAAAGTTTTTGGCCACGTTAAATCCTCCCAGAACCGATCACATGGTGTAATGTAAATATGATTATAGATGATAACGCACCGTTATGCGAGGACGTCTGTTCCCAAAGCTGCGCGTTGAGCTGTTTATTCTCGATCGATGCAAATCCGTCACCGCGTCGATTTTTGACATTTAGTTTTGAAAGGATGCTGCCGGGGCCGATCCAGAAGACAAAGCCGCATAAAACAAAGAACAAAGTAAGCGGCAAGCTCTAAAGAGCGCATTGGGCCACACTTGAACAATGCTGAATGTTTCGAAACACTTCAAAGAATGGCAGGATTAAAAAAAAAAAAAAAAAAAAAAACATGAGAAATCTTGGCTTCCCTGGCCAAATGCTTCTCTGGAGAAATAACAATTTGAATTCCCACAAGTCATTGAAAAGCGGCCGCAATGAGAAATGGTTTTCCAGATCCCAGATCTGGGTGACCCCGATGTTTGGATGGGAAGCTTTTAGTGTTCGCCGAAGGTGCCGCAAGGGCTTGAGATTGTCACTTTGGTTTGCCATTTAAGAAACGCGAGGCGTTTACTGTCAATCAGAACCTCCTTCAAGTTTCTCTGAAACAAAGAAGTTGTTGTGTGACAGTTTAGAGGAAGTCGCCCTAGTTGGACGATGGGGCTTTTTGAGATCACCGCAAAAGAACAGAGCAGCTGAGTAAGTCCATAACTCAACCGCAAACACAAACTCCCATGTCTATAAAAAAAAAAAAAGAGCCCCCCCCTCCCCCCCTGAAACCCGAACACCCAAGGGTGACACTTAGCTTTTGTGGTTTCGCTTTAGGAAGGAAAACCATGCCGCAAACGGGAAAGGATGACACACTTGGCTTAAAATTAACACGAGTGGGCTTAAAACATGCCCGACGATCCGAAGCGAGATTGATCGCTTTTTTATTTTATTTTTGTGTATTTATTTATTTTGGGTCAAACTAAGCGGCACAGAACATCGTGAGTGTCAGACGGCCCATCACTTACAGCCACTTTGCTGCTGTCGTAAAAGCATCACAAACCGATTTCAAAAATGCACGAGAGCCCGACATGACTGAAATAATGATTCCCCCAAAACAAAAGTTGACTAAAATAATATACCAACGTTAGCAAATTGGAAGCAAACCGTTCTTGAAAAGAAAACAGCGATATGCAAATGTGTTCATCCGCGTTTGCGTGGATAACTCGTGTTCTGCAATACGTGCGCTGCAGCCGATCCTGGGTGGCCGTTGCCGCCATTTGGAAACCCCACCACGGCTTCTCGCTGCTGTTTTTTTTTTTTCGCCTGAACTTATCGCCATGTTGTTTGGAAGGGCGCTGCGGACCTCACAGACTGCACTTAGAACAAGTGAGAAACGACACGGAGGCCTTAGGAAAACCTCGGTTAAGGTCATCCGTGGCAGCTGGCATGCAAGGCGGCCTACAATAATACACAGCTCGTCCCTCTTGACGGCCATCAGTACACACTTGTACAGTCGTGGCACGGCAACGGCGCACGCTTGCGCTGACATCTCCAGACAGTGAAAAATAAACGGAAAGAAGGCGGGGAGCGCGCATAATGAATTCCAGTGTTGTGAGCAAAAGGAAAGCCGAGCCGAGCCGTCGTACGCAACAACGTCCGCGCGCGGACTAGTCGTGTGTCATAAAGTCGAGACCTTAGCACGTCTCCGCCGAGGAGATGAATGAAAGCCGCAGTCGTTAAAATACTTCTGCGAAGACGGGGGTGCTTATCAAATAATACGAACCACATTGCGCTATTCTGGATTTTGGAGTCGGGGGTACTGGAGATAGATAGCGCTACCTTTTCAAGTGCGCTTTGATGTCTGGACCTTAAAACGCAGTTCTGGGAAAATGAAAGATGTCGACTTAAGGACACCGGAGCTCTGGCTTCTGTATACTGGTGGCTCGAAATATAAGTGACCTGGCGCACAAGATTTAAGAGCTACGAGCCGTCGTTTAGGCAATTTTTTTTTTTTTTTTTTACAAGATTTAAGAGCTACGAGCCGTCGTTTCGGCAATTTTTTTTTTTTTTTTTTTGCTATGACTTGCCAGCAAAAATTTGAGATCCTTGTGCAGTACGGGCAGCAGTAAAGTCAATTCACTTCCCAAGCACCAATTTGGCAGATGGTGAGCAATTCTTCAAAAAAAAAAGCTGCTGGTCGCCACACCGTTGAAGTTTACTGTCAAAGTAAACATCAAACAAAGAGAATCACACATTTGTATATTTGAAACAAACCGACAGCTTTGCGTTTGATGAATCCGTTGATCTTAATGCTAACAAACAACGCAAACCGGCACAGGCAGGCTAACTAAGATGGAGACAGCACATTCAATAATACTCACCTGCATATTCTTTATCCTCTGTGAACAACTATTATTACAAGTTACAGGGGATTGATGTCTGCATGTATGTTCCTGTGTCTCTTCTATGACACACGAACCCAAACGGAGCAGCGCAATGTCCGTCGAATTGAAGCCAAAACTGTTTTATTCTTTGCATTCCATTTCATGAAGTCAGCTCACAACCTGGACCCCCGTCAGACGGTATGAACGCGGCGCCGTTTGGCTGGTAGTGTTGCACAACAAAACTTCCCCCCGTGTTGTTGCCAGGCCTGATTAGACCTCAAGACGATGGTAGTGCTCTGTAAAAACACCAATCACCATTTCCTCATAACAAAGTTAGAGAGAGCGATGGTCAGGAGGGGAAATATTTTCCATGCCGGTCTTTTCATTTTCCACCCCAAGCTGTCTTAACAGCAGCAGACCAGGGCATCCATTTCGAAGACGGAAGCCAAGGTCACTCAGACCAGTTGAATTCTTCCTGCTGCTCTAGCAAAAATATTTTCGTTTTGTTACTTTGACTTAGCTAATTGGGGCGGTTGGTTTGATTGGAAACATAAGACAGTGAGTGATGTTAAACAGGCGCACTTTTTTTTTTTTCCTCCATTGAGAAAGTTCATGTATTGTGTAATGATAGATATTTTGGACTTTCAGATCACACTTGAAATATAATGTTATACTTTCCGTATCTTGATGTAGCTGATATTTCATGTTTCCATGTTTTCATATCTTTGATATTAATAATTTGGCATGCTTGCTATGCCTTATTGATGTGTTTTCATGGTGGAGACGACTGGAACAGTGAATTTTCCTCGTGGATGACTGAAGTATCTCGCTAGCTTGCGGGCTACCTAGCTAGAGAGTTAGCTAGTATCTGTCTTGCCGGTTATCTATCCACGTATCAATCTATCCCTCCCATCAATGTGACTTTTTGGTCTCTCTATTTTATTGCATCCCAGGGGACTGATGGCCGGACCCACATGGAAGAGGAGCAGGGCGCCAAATTTACCCAAGTGAAGTGGAATTTCACTCAACAACCATCTGGTAAGTTTTTCAAGCTACGAGTCGTGAGAGAGCTCCTGAGCTGCATCTGCTGGTTCAAGTACAGACTGACAAACAGTTGATTTGTGAAAAATAATCATTGAAGCAAATTGTTACATGTGACATTAACATTGCTCGCAATATGTTCCAATTGCTCTTCTGGTGTGTGTGTGGTTGACTCGAAATGCCCAACGCAACAAACCGAACCGGATTAGCATTATCGAAACAACTTCCAAGAAGGCCCAATGAGGGCAAATGACTCTTTAGGAAATCACTGAGAAACACAAATGATGAAAGGATGATCCCAGTTTTTATTATGTCGTACCCATAAAAATAGCGACGAGAAACAAACATCGCCGTTTGGTTGGGGAGTCACCGCTGGTTGACATGACGACACTGCTGCTATATTCCAAAAGCTATTGCATCTGCATCACAAATAAGCGTCGGAGGTCTTTCTATGTGCACTTCAATCACGGATCGCATAAGCAGGTCCAGAGTCCGGCCGCCTGACACGGCCGTCTGTCTTTGCCATTTCCCTCTGATGTTCTCAGTCACCCCGCCCTCAAATTCCTCCAGCATGTCTCATTCCTTTTTGCTGCGGGCCAGGCCGGCTCCCCCGGGGCTCATCTTCAGGAGGAAATTATTTTTCATTACCACCAAAACACTGCGACTTTGGCCGGCTTGGCCTCGTGGCCCTCGCGATGGCCGTCCAGGTTGTAAGGTCATACTTCCTCCCGCCCGTGAGGTGGCACTCGGAAGGTCATCGCGTGAGCCCGTTGTTGACTCCACCGAGCAACTTGGGGTTGTATATCACAGTAAAGGTCCTAAATGGACTTCTTTAAAGTCATGGGGGTGTCCAATCCATCTTCACCCAAGCGACGCTTGTCAAGCTTTGTGGTCATTTTTGACCATAATGGCCCTCAAAAGTGTTGTTTTGCGTTGGACTAACCTCCATTTTAGGATTCCCGGAGACATCCGTCCCTCTTCAATATGCTCTTATCCTGTCCCGGGGTCACAGACTGCTGGAGCCGATCCCAGCTGACTTGGGGCAGACAGGGCGGGGTACACCCTGGACCCGTTTAAGGCACATCAACGATTGCTTTGGAGCAGTTTTCCCAAGTTTCGGAGAAAAAGCTGAATGAGTTTTGCTTTGGGAATGTTGCGACTCATCAACGTGGTTACATGGTTCTTGTCATTCAGGTGACTCAGCAGTAATGTTCGAGACTTCGTTGATCACAGTGGCCACGCAGCGCAAACCGAAATAATCAGCTCGCTTTTATTGTAAGTTTCCTCAGAAGGGCCAAAAATTAAACAAGGAAGCAGGAGGATGAAAAGGAAGGCCCGAGAAGAATTTGAGTAAACGTCTGCTTCCCGAAGCTGCAGGGCAACCTGATCTGCTAATCGGGATGCATTTCTGTTGGAATCCTGAGTCACTCTGGCCTGCAATTTGCTGGCGACCGCTCCTGGGTGGACCCAGCCTCTTGCCAAAAGTCAGCTGGGATAGGATCCAGCTCACTGATGAACCAAAGACGAGGAAATGGCTGGATGGATGGATGGATGGATGGATGGACGGACGGACGGCCGGCCGGCTGGGGGCCGGCATCACTCTGACCATTAAAGTTAGCCCAGAAAATCTCATCTGTAAACAAACACAGTGCAGCTCAACCTCTAATATGCGGACGTCATGTCTAGCCAGGGACATCTCACCCGTCGGGGTTATGGGGGTGTTTCAACACCTACACTTTTCCTGAAGACAAGGGTTCAAAGTCAGTTTTCCCCTGTCACCCTTGTCTGCGTTGTCCATTTCTGAAAAAGAAACCCGTGATGCTGTACTTTCCTCAAAAGAAAAGAGTAAAGGTTTGACATTTGAAATATCCCTGCATTCCTTTTCTATGCAGCCTGAAGCCAGACATTTAAGCTGAGTACCAAAGGAAACCAAGAGAATTGCGCCTGCTCTTAAAAGCACACAGCATGAGGCTAGACCGCCTCTTGAGGATTGAAGGTAACACGTCATGGGAAATACAACGAATGACATTTACATGGCAGTGTTATACCACTTGATGGTACAGATATTTCAATACAAACTGTGTAGCATATGTAGACAGACAACATAATAGTCATATAGGCATATATTCTTTATCCTCTGTTAAAAATGATTGTCTCACTGCAGGTTACTGAATCCCACACATTACAGTCGTTGAGTCAAAGGCTTCATTTGTCTGCCTGACGGTGCAACCCGGTGGCCAAGTCGGGCACACCTGAAGGAGCTGCAATGAATTCCCCATGACGCATACTATTTCATTCTTTACAATTCTTTTGAGTATGTTCTTACAATGTCTTTTTATAAAGTACAATATCGACATTTTTTGTGTGTATGTTTGTTTTGGGGTTGGAAGACTGGAACAGATTATTGGAATGGAAATTTCAAGGTGACCAATGGCGCGTCATGGACTAGTATGGGCAGTTTCTGAAACAAAAATTTACTTTGAATTCTGACTTGGCTAGTGAGAGACTACGGTGCCGTTCAATTTATGTACAAATTCAAGCAGAGGGAAGAACTTTGTTGAAGTGCTTCTTGTGAAACCAGAGCTCATCAAATGTTTGGGCAGCTTGCTATCTTCAGGCCCTGGACCTGATACAGTTTTTGATTTCTTCCTATGATTTGGATTCCTTTCCCCGCTGTGTCTTTTTGTGTCCTTCTCAGTTTCATTTCGCCTCAGTCATTTGCCCCCGGCCCACCCTTCCACCTTCCTCGGCTAAATGTTGAATCACAATGAATCATTGATTCTCGTTTTTCGCTCATGGATGTTTAGTTTTTTTTTTCCCCCCGCAACTCCTGGGAATCTAATTTCCTGTTTCTGCTCCCGTCAACTGATTGATGTTTATGTTTAACAATCTGTTTCTGTTTTCCACTCTTTAGACCTTCTTTCCGCCAAACCCAGCTCTTTGTCTCCCCCCCCCCAACCCTCCGATTTGCTCGCCATTATCTACACGGAATATTTCGACGTATCGAAGGATACAAAAGCAGATTGAGTAGTTGGCAGCAGTTGAACCCGTTTGACAACGGCAACGCCTCCAATATGCGTCTCGAAATGCGACGTACACATCAGGGCGGCGACTTGAAAGCCTGCCGCTCGGTGAATGCTCTTAGCTCTCTAAAATGCCTTCCTTTTTTTTTTTTTATCAGACTTCAAGTTCCCACTGAAGGTGAGAATGTTAAGATGCACGTCGTGCAGCGTGTTCTGTGAGGTTCGGGCTCAAATTTGCATAAACTCAACTGGAGCCTCAAGGCAAGGTGGAATCGGTTCACACTTTGAGTCAGCATAATGCAATTATTCCTCCGTAGCAACCACTAATTTAAGGGGATTTTTTTTTTTTTGGCGGCGGGGGAGTCAAGGGAAACAGATGACTAACGAGAAGGCCTTCCCAAAATGCTGGAAACAGAGAATGATAAAAAAAATAGCATATTCAGGTTCAGGTTATACTTTCTCCTTTAGGATTTCGTATGTTTTAGTTCCTGTGGCAATTTGCCAGATCAACATCCATGAAGTGCTCGTTCATTCGTGCCGCAAAGAGCCCCGCGTCCGAATCCCGCCCGGTGCCATCCCCGCACCGGATTGCGTGGGAGGATCTGAATACTGCTTGTTGTGTAATTCAGATTTCAACATTTCTTTTCTCAGAGCTCGCCCGCAATGTTTTGGTGCATGCGGAGGTACGATTGGCGGGGGGTAGGTAGCGCTCCAAAGCCCCCCCTCCACCCCCACCGCAACTGTCAGCCGCTCATGGAAACCAGACCTTTAATTGCTCTCAGATGGCGAAGCGTTTGGTGTGCGAGACGCCGAGTGTGACTGTGCACTCCGCTTGGATTCCTCCATTACGCCAACCGTTGCGTCTAAATGGGCGTAGGGGGAGCACGTCGGGCCCGGGCCAAATATTTGCAACATTGATAACAAAATACGTTTCCGTGACAAATTGACTTTCGGTTCCGTGTTTGGCTGTCGATCAGACGAAGAAGAATGTTGTGATGTTTGTGTGCCGCTGAGAAGCAAAGTTGGCACTGACACATCAAATTGTAAATGTTGACGTGAAAAGACGCATTATTGCTTCTCGCCATTGCAGACTTTGAGCTTGAGGCATCGCTAAATGACTCCATTGGTCTCCAAGCACTTGACGGCATACCCCAGATTGGTTCTCTGGGTATGCGGTGTCCGATGTTTGGGGTGTAGCATCCCGCTCGAATGAGGGGCGGGACAAACCTAACCTTGCGAAAGCAAGTTGCCGAAATAGCGCGGCCGCGTTTTCGCAGTAGTAAGCAGTCAGAGGATATATGACGAGTCAACAAGAGGCTGAGCTTCAACACGAGACGTCGTGCGTGACTGTTGGATCCCCGGGAATTGTTCCAATCCATTCAAAGCACAGCGCAATTCTCGCCACACCCACCGTGGAATCTTCCAAAACTTGGAAAGTCCACAAGGGTTCTGGCACGCTTCCAAAATTTTTTTTTCCGCAATAAACAATAAGCTTGTTGCACTTTTATTGAGGGAAGAAACGATCAGAATTTTTTTTTCGCTATCCCCAAATGAATGATCGATCTATTCGTTGTCAAAAAATATCAAAACCATGAAAATATGTGTGGGCCATTGGAAGAAAGGATGCCGGCTGATTGCGGGCTTCAACAAAACGCTTTTTAAGGGTGATGGGGTGGGGGTCAAGAATTATAATGGGGCGCATGTTATTCATGGGAAAACGACATGACTTCTTGGTTGCGTGAAGATGTTCTGCTGACTGATGTGAAGGAGGCGATTGTGCGAGCCATGCGGTGACAGTTGAGCACTTTTGCGGAGTTAAGGCTTCGGTCTTAGGCCAAGCATTAGCATTAGCAAAGCATTAGCATTAGCATGAGCAAAGCATTTCCTGTCCCATTTTGGAGGCTGTCTAAATTCGATGATTAGCTCATTAAAGCTCCGATTGAACAACCCGACTGGCAGTCCAAGTCATTCTGA